TACATACAACATATACACACATATGTAGGTAGTGTTTGGAAGTATCGAGCACTTTTGAGGATCCACTTCTTTGGTATCGATACTTTTAAGGATCGGGTATTTTTGAGAGTACTGAGTTTTTTAAATATGTATTTGTTGCTAACATTTCAATGCTTATTGTAGAAATCTCACAATCTGGCAGCACTTGATTCAAATTAGTGTTGTACTTGAAAACTATCAAAACTTCAAATTGAGTACAATTATTTCTGAATACCGGTAAATGTAAATAAAACTCAGTACTCTTAAGTATCTATTCGACACTTATACTGAGTACATTGAATCGATCCTGAAAACAGTATTTTTGAGTACTGAGTACTTTAGAGTTCTTTTGTCAGTACTGAATACTTTCGAGTTCTTTTTGAGTACTGAGCACGGACCAAATTTGGTCCATTTCTTTTCGTTTGGTCCATTGGTCCAATTCTTTTTAAAATGGGCCATTTCGCAAGCCTTTGGTTAGGTTATTATGACCGTTTCACTTCATGCAATAAATTTCACGTTTTCAGTTTTTATACCCGAGCGCACTTGTAAAATGGCTGGCAAAAATATGGAAAGGTAGCAAAAATTTAATCATATCGTTTAGCACATGAAAATAATATTCGATTTCAATCGACATTTAACATCTTGAAATTTTTACACCGCATACAGTTCTTTATGATCCTGATGTATCAATTTTGCCGCTACTCGACCAATTTTCTGCATTGGTAATTGATGCAGACATAATTGAATTTCAATTTCGCAAATTGAGGCTGAGTGAAGGTAACTTCAAAAACTGTACAAATATAGAACGCTTTTGGGATCAAGTAAGTTTAATTAAAAACGGATTGGGTGAAGCGGCTTTTGGAGAATTGTGTGATTTAGTTCATAACATTTTTAGTCTGCCACACAGTTCCGCAGCAGCTGAGCACAAACTTTTTGATTTGTGTTAATAAAAACGAAATTAGGAGACAAATTATAATTTAAAACTTTAAATAAAATAATGTTATTAAAATACAGCTGTAATGCCCATTGTATGCAATATAAAAAAATCGTTATAAAAACTGAATTGGCATATTTTCTTGATAAAGAGGAATAAACTCGACTCAATCTCCCGATGTAATAAAAATTGGTAAATTTTTTACCATTAGGTAAATTTTTTGGTCCGACAAATTAAATGGAAATGGCAACCGTGATACCGAGTTCTTTGAAGTATTCAGAACCGATACTTTTAAAAACCGAGTGCGGTCGAACCTTTCGAGAATAGAGTTCTGAGTACTTTTGGTATCGATATTGCCCAACACTAGTACATAGTAACAACACTCGTATATTGTATGTATACGAAGAAGAGCTAACAAAGGTAGAAGGCTTCCGGTTCTGTGCGCTGGTAAGACTAAATTTTCACCCAGCAAGGACTGCTGCGTCAGCGATTGAATCATGGTTAGGTCATTTCATTACATTCGGTATCAATCGTTTTGAAATGCTTCAAATTTGAAAAATTTATTTGATTTCAGATTTTCAGAGAAATCCAACATTTTCCCCCCATACAATCATAGGGGTCTTTCCATCTCAAAGTTTGCGATAAAGCTCACAGGGATTGTTCCTTGAACAATTTAAGGGGACATGTATTTCCACCGGAAGGTCCACCACGACAAAAAAAAATAAAAGTTTTATTTGTCTGCTTTTTAAAATATATACTGGCTATGTAAGTAGAATCATCTTTGCATAAAATGGTCTTCCTAGGTGGTGCCAAGGTCGAGATATTTCGAAAAACGGTATTTATGGTCCGATTTGGTTCGAATTTGGCGTATGTGGTTGAAACATAATAAATCATAGATTTTTAATAAATTGACCCTGAATTGGCGCTGAAGTCAAAATATAAAGTATATTCTACATAAAATCCAAGTTTTATTTGCGTTAAAAATTCATTTAAAAGCAATATTAACAAAAATATAACGATGGAAATTTATGTCACGTGACGCTACGTCACGTCACGTTTCACACTTGAATTGAAACAATTTGCATTAATTCAAAAAACTCTAAAAACAACTAGAATTGCTCCAAATCATATTAAAATAAGTTTCATGAAAATAGCCATGCACAATTCGCAGAGTTTTGCGATTTTGTAAGAAAAGAAAAAATCAACTTCCATTTTTTGTCACGTAACGAACCTCTCTTTAAATGCTTCTATTTCAGGACCAAGCAGTTCGATTGATTTAATTTTTCGGTTAAATATAGAGCTAATTATGTGCTATACAATGGCCCAAAAAAGTTAAAGAAAACAAATGGTATTCCTTTTTTGTATCACATTTAAAACGTACGACTGCCACGTGCGCCACCATGGGAATGCCCATATTCGAATTTTTCGAATAATGATTTTTTCTTTTTTAATACGAACGCTTATTTTTTCTCTCTTAATAGCTACTTTTGATGAAATCGCTTATAACTGCCACGAAAAATCAAGCATTTTAACGCTTTTTTTAAATTACAGATATTGATCTACTGAACCGATCTAGTGAACTAAACCTCAGTAGTTGTTTGTTAATAATTAATTATTGATAATAAACAAATTTTTTTTTTTTTCAAATTGCCACATCTTTTTTTTCTACGTAAATCTAAGTAAAACATTTTTTTCGATATTCAAAAATTGAGTATTTGCTTTTGAGATTAATAATTTTTTTTTTAAATATTTGTCACACTGCCAATCTAAGTTATTTTGTTTTTCTGAGAGAATAAACTTTCCGCATGCCTTTCCCATTTCTTTATTGACTTCTACTTAGAATTTACATTATTTAAAGCCGATTTGATAATAGAGTTAAAGAATCTTTTAAAATTTAAAGGGTTCTTTATTTTACTGATCGATTTCATAAATCCACTTTAAAGATAATTGTGCCCTTTAGTTAAATACCCAAAATGAAAATTTAAATGACAAAGGTCCCTTTTGTAGAAAAAAAAAAATAAGTACGTCATTTTCGTAGTTATAATTACATGTTTATGACAATGAGATAATGCAATTTGGCACATATCAGCATTGCCAACTTTATTTCCATTTAAATAGATCTTTTGTTATTATTCAATTGCCATTGTATTATGACAACACTTCTTGTTTAAAGTACATTTAAATAACACTTTAACTAAAAGGAAACTTTTGCAAAAGGAACTTAAAGTGTTTTATTATGAAATCGGCCAATAATAGCCAGAATATTTTAATTACATCATTTTTCAAACGAAAGTAAGTATGTATGCCTGGTTGAATGTACATAAATATGTACATAGTATGTGTGTTCGTATGCATGATGGAAGCCAAGTGTTATTGCATGTTGTAAAAATATATCAAATTTAAAGCTTTCTACTCAATAATAGCTTCATAATCACACATGCATGTATTGGTGTCTTGTTTATTTTATTTATTTATACGACTATAATATTTTCATTTAGCATTAAGATTGTTCTGAAAAATGTATTGTTGTGAATAAAATTGGAACTTTGCAAGCAGCCCATCGAATGCAAGACGAAATCATTTGAACAAAAGCAAAAAAGTTAAAATTAAACAACATATTAATAATGGAAAAAATAACAGCACACATTCACAAAAGTAAAAATTATTTGCATCAGCTTAATCAAATTCGCCTATACTATCGACATCTCAGCTCTCGATACTCATCATTTGATTGGCTCACTCACTCACCTTCCTGTCACACGTGTGCCCAACGCTTAATGGCTTAGCAAAGTACTACCAAAATACACTCTTAACTGCAGAATAATCAGAGAATAAGAAAATGTCAAAACAAACAAACTCACTTTTGTAAAAAACAACAACACAAGTAACGCTGATGATAGCCATCAAATGCATCAAAAGACCACCAAAAGAAAATTCAAAAAGAAAACCAAAATCTTTTCTTTTTTTTTAAATATTTTGCAAACGTACCGAAAAAACAACTATTTTCCTTTTCTTCTTCTTTTCTTTTTGTTTTCGATATCATATCACAAATTGTGCACTCCCACTTTTAAATATCTAGAAAAAGACTGCCGTCAATTTTCAGAAAACGTTCGGACAAATTGAAACGCGATCTAGAAGACGCCGTCCGTGAACCCAATTCACAACATCGCAATTCGGGTAGTCCATCGCAACTGGGCGACGAAGGTGACTGTATCTCGTTGACTGGCGGTAATAACGGTGCCGTTGGCGGGGTAGGTGACTACTACAATCTCGATGAAATGTTGGGACCTCTACATGAACCAAACCTCAATCCGTGCTTAGTGTCTTCCTCAATACCAACAACAATATTTATGAAATTCGAAGCGCACGACAACGAATCGCATGCGGTGCGTTGGAGTCCCGTGGAGCGGCTAGTGGCGACCGGTGGTGGCGATCGTAAGGTCAAGCTGTGGGATGTGGCGAAAGGTAGGCGCGCAGCAGTTGAAGTCATACAAATATTTAATTTTCTGCTCTTACAGTTGCGCAGGAACCACGCGCCGTTTTGGGCGGCAGTAGTGCCGGCATCAATTCCGTGGACTTTGATTCGACTGGCACTTATATACTCGGCACCTCAAATGATTATGGCGCTCGCGTGTGGACGGTGGCGGATAGTCGATTAAGGGTAAGTCAAAATGGAGAAAATGCAGAAAATGTCAATGACAATAAAAGTGCCAAACAAAACAAAAATAATATTGGCGATAATAATACAAATAAGACGTGCGCCGTATGTGGCAACTGTGCACTGGATAGTCTGATGTTGAACGCTGATAGTCAGCATTTTGGTAGCGTTTAAATAAGCAACGCATGTAGACAAATTAAGAAATTTACCGAATAATATCTATTTTTGATTGAAGTAAAATTAATTTTGGTTACGTACTCAAAAAATGTTGGGCAATTTACCATAGTTATACATTTTTTCTTGAAGAAGAGAAGTGTACGCTTCTTTTTTATTTAAGGTAAACTGAAAAATAAACGTTTTATATGCAAAAAATATACAATGACAAAACTGCCCAATTTAAATAAAACTTCTGTACTAAAAATATTTTTGTATCTTTGCTTTTAAATAATACCCTTAGAAATAGAATTTGTTCAAAGATTGAAATTGAAATTGAAAAAAAAAAATTATGTTCATGAACGCCATTAATTATGCTGCATGAAAATTTTTTTATGAAAATTACTACAAACGAAACTTGGACGAATTCTTAAAAGGCCCTAAAGTATATATATCATTGATGAAATTGGAGGTTAAATTATACTTTTTTGGTACATTTTGGATCTGAAACATTGGTACTACATCAACATTTTTGATAAAATTTTGTCAAAATATGGCATTGCGCCAAATTCTGTCGAAAGATTCTTCTACATACCTGGAAATTTTAATTTTTTGTGTATAAAAATGTAATAATCTTTCGCTACCTCACACAAGTAAATATGTGGTGCTTATTAAAATCGAATGACTTGGTAAAATCAGCAAACAGGTTCTGTAATAATAGAAACAACTAGTGAACCGGTTGATGTGGTCCAAAGTTATGCGGTAACATACATAAAAAAAAAAAAAAAATATTCCGACGAACTGATAACCCCCTCCTTTTTTGGAAGTCGGTTAAAGAAAAAAAAAAATAAAATTGGGAATGGTCATATGAAAATGCTTAATGATTTTTTGGGATGCAATATGTATTAAACTCCTGCGCAATTCCATTTAAACGGCCTAACAAGACATCCGATCGCCACGCAAATACTTTCCCTCCTTTACTCTCATCGTTCGGGTCAAGTGTGAGTAAGCATAAACCAGTTTCTGCAAGCGTACGTAAACTACCGATCAATAGCAAGACGCGTAGAGTATTTACTTTGCCTTTCGCAAGTACTGCGAGTAAAAGGTATTTGACAGTAGAGTACTCTACTGGTAGTATTTGAGTATTTTCGAAGAAAACATACATTTGTGGTATCTGAATAAAACTAAGGACAGGAACGTACTTTCAACTAAAATGCTAATATATGTACATACCTAAGTACATATGTATGTATGTGCATAGATACATATGTGCATAGATACATATGTGCATAGATACGTATGTGCATAGATACATATATAAGTGTCCGCATATATTTTTTCTCGTCACTTGCTCTGTCGCTTCACTGCAGCAAAACCAAGTTGTGGGGAAAACTCTGATGATATGCGTACAATTGAAACCATGGGTTTGAAGATAGCGCAAATTGATGTGAAAATTTCAGTTTCATATTAAATATATTTATGTATGCATGTACATATGTAAAAATGTAGTTTCGATTAAAAAATATCGGATAAAGTTTTTCTTTCGCCATTCATACACCTCTAATTTTAGTATTTATTAAAAAACTCAATGAAATTCAAAAACTATCTCTTGCATTTGGTTTTACTCAATACCGATTTGAGCTGTCGCACAGTGTTATCAAAACAAAAAGCTATCAATGGGTAGGTTCAGAAGGCGCAGCAGTTGAGCGCAACCGTTGCTAAAAAAAAATCAGTGATCGTTATGCGTGTTCTGAACGACTTATACATTAGCTGTCAAATTCAACTCTCAAAGGTACACACCAACATGTTGTCTCAAATGATCAGAAAAATATTACGATCATCTAACACGCAACTATTCAGTTGATCAGAAGTACGCAACAACGCGTTCAGAAGGTGCAATCGCACCAGTTACTGAGCTGTTGCGCCTTCTGAACGTGCCCAATGAAAATTCGTTTCTCTTGAAATCAAGTTATATGGCTGCATATGTATGTACATACGTACATATTTCGAATTTTTTTTTATTTGTAAAGGCTCTCAAGAAAAACTAAAAATTCATAAAAAATTACGCACAATAAATGGCAAATAAACTTGCTTCTATAAAAAATTTCTTAAATCAGTATGCAGCTCTTAAGAAAAATATGCTCGTACATCTCGTCGCTACCATGTCCAACTATCGAATATGAAAATCGGCACTTTTCAAAATTTTGATTTGCCACTAGTAATTTTATTTCGTATAGCACCATTGCTTAAGTTGCTGTTTTTGACAACTTATTTGTTGGTTAATGACTGCAAATAGTTTTATAGAAAATTATAGACGAGAAATAATACTTTCATAAAAATATAAGTACATACATAGATTTAAAAAGCTGCTTGAATACAAAAGTTTTATGAAAATGTCACATTAAACAACTGTCTAAATCTACGGTATTTTTTATAAATAAAACCGTAAACATTTCCTTACATCGTCAATTTCCATATTATATTTTTACTCTTTCAATTTCACTCACCAGCGCCGCAAACGATATCAACTAGTAGGCTAACAACCAGAATTGAAATTTAATACGCAAGTACTTACAGTACTACAAGTATACAGAGAGTAGATTTGCTACACCCTTTTGGCAGCAGCAAATATCTCTCGTACGCGATGAGAGAAAGTAGAGTACCTACTTTGGTGGAGTAATAGCAAGTACGTCAAGTATTTACTCTCTCAACGCCAAGTAGTGTATGTATGCGGAAAAAGAGTAACAATGTGTTGGGAGTAGAGTACAATCCAAGGAGTACTTATTGAACGAAATGCGGCAAATACACTTGCGCTGGACTTTAATATGTATGAGGGGGAGAGAATGTTACTCATACGCCATGTATGTACGTGCCGTATGAGCAACATCTTCCACGTTAAAATTTTAATTCTTAGCACTTTGCGTACATAGGATAACATCAAAAATAATGCCAGCCTGGAGGTCAAGTGGATACTTTTGTCTCCTCGGTAGGCAATTAAAAAGCAGCTCTCACAAAAATTAAATTACACAAATTTCCATCATGCATTCCCTTTTATATGGCGCATGAAACGTCGACGATATCTAACAAGTATGAGAGGTTTTGAGGGCTGTCGAGATAGAGTAAGTAAGTAGAAGAAGTAACTTTTTAAAGAACCCGCTAAAGGCTGCGGAAATTCATGCTTTGTTTGGTTCAATCACCCTGGACTCAGTTTTTCCAAACGTATCCACCGGTTTTTTTGGATATCTATAGGCGGTTTTTTTAAGTCTTGATTGAGTTGAGTTTTTCAAGGTCTTTTCCTATATCCTAGAATATTTGGGAATGAACAGTACATCATATTTGATTCCAATAAATTAATGTTTGACGATTAATAGTTTTCCACGTGTTTCGCCGAGCTTCTTCTCCAATTCGTATTCTCATTTCTGATGTTGTAATACAAATGGAGAGATCCACGCTTTTTACTACACCTCCGAAAAGCTTTTTTATGGCAGAAGTACCCTCTGAGGTTTGCCATTGTTTGCAGAGGGGCGGCCGCTGTTTTTTTGATGTTGAAATTGAAATATGCACTATGCATACTCGGCTACGGTGGCCAGAGCAGTACTCAAATCCGAAAAAAGATAAAAATCAATAAAATAAAATAAGATCATAAAAGCTATTTTTACTGTTAATAGTTTTAGTGGAATTTTTGGCCATGACTCGTACCAATATAAGCGTTTTCTCTGTACGAAAAATATAACCGGTTTATGCGTTTTTTTCATTTCAAAATTGGAAACCGTTTTTTTTTTTAATTCCAATTTCTTTAAATAACTCAAAGACAGGTTTTGGAAAAAAGGTGAATAATCGAACTCTTTACTCTTACTCTTAGAAACTAAAATCACAGACCTCAATTTTAGAGCGCAATGCAGATTCTTGTAGTAGAATTCCCCCATTTAGAAGAATGTTTGTAATTCTATATATCCTTTTATTTAGTTATAAAATTTATTGAAAAAGAGTACAAAATCATTTAATTTTATTGGAAAATTCTAATGACAAAATAAACATATTCACGCAAATTACAGTTTTTCTTGCGGTGTGCTTTTTTTTTAGTACAAATAGACTATATTTTTTAAATTTTAATATTTATCAGCGTTTAGCAATAAATATTAATACTTTCAACAACGGCACTACTGCTGATCAGTTGCTTGTTGTGCTACATACTTCGAAATTATTACTAAACATTAACTACAAAAATAAATTATATAAGCAGAATTTTATTCCAAAATCAAAATTATTTTAATTAAATAAAAAATGTACTATAAATAAGTTTTTTGTTTTGTTTTTATTTTTTGACGGGTTAGAAAAAAGGACAAGTGAAAAGTGGAAGTGGCATACAAATTACGCGCTATGTTTTCTTTGTTTTTGTTTTAATGAACATAAAAAATACACTGCATAGCTAAATTAAATTATATATTGCATTCAGTTATCGTTTACTTAAGCGTTACTGGATTGCTGCTTGTATATGTATGTATGTGTTGTTTGTATGTCTGCAGTTTTATGGGAGTTGGGGCAGTGTTTCCTCGGTACACTTGAACCACTCTTAAGTTGTCTATGTATGTATGTATGTATGTTGTGTGCTTTAATGCTTTTGTGATATGCATTTACAAAGTATGTTTGTGACTGTTCTGCTTGAATGCGTGTGTACGTGTGTACGTTTGTGCTTGTTTGTTTATGTACGTATATATATTAAATTTAAACCTAAAAAATAAAACTATTGCAATGAATTAACTATTATAAGTCTGCCATAAATGCAGTGTTTCTAATTGCTAGATTCTTTATGTTTCACATTTTCTGTTTTTACTGAATCCACTGCCGTCTTATGCGACCGTGTATGCATAGCGTCTACTTAAAACTACACTTTGTCTGCAACTTATGCAATTACGCAATAGTTCGCAAGCCAATCGCTTGTGTCGTATTAGATTTCTTTGATACGCTGCATCTACGATTTAGCAATTTCATAAAGAAAAATAATACAAACTCCAAAATGATCAGTCGTCCTTTTTTCTGTATATCCACGCCTAATCACTATGTTCTATTTAAATATTTTATGCAATGTCTTAAAGAATTCATTTGTTTATGTGCTGAATCGCCGAATTGAACATCTTTTTTTATCGCATAGCTTAAAACTAGTATTTTAGACTATTTTGACGCAACGTCCAGCTGGCATCCGATTGCGCGTTAGCTTTCTCACGTTCTTTGCTTTATGTATGCGTTGTTGTTTTTTTGTTTTGTCTACCCTTGATAATAATAATGCACCTATGTACTATTAAATATGTAATTACTTTAATCAATATTATCCATATCGTTTATATTGCCCACGAGTTTCACTTTTCGGCACCATGTGAGTTTAATCTGCACGCACCTCCGTTATAACTTCATTTAAATAAGTATCTTGTTTTCGTTATTCTTGTTAATGGCGTCTTCGTAAGTTTGTTATTGTTATTGCTTCATAAATTTCTTACTTCTCACAATAATTCTTACTACACTTCTGGCAAGAATTCGCATATTTGTCACACCTTACCCCCAAACCAACCAATTAATATTTTTAAAAATTTTGCTAAGTCACTTCAAGGTGGTTTATCGTTTCTGCGCTTCGTTTAGTCGTTATTGTGTGTGTAATTGTTATCTCATTTCTCATACGTCTTTAAAATTGACGTCCGTGTCGTCCTGCGAAACCGCTGTCATATAATTTGCACAACGATTCAGATCGCGCATTCGGCACGCTAGTCACAATTCCTGAGCCATTTACCGAGCTACCTGTGTGCGAACCATAACTGGAGCCGTTGCTGAGAATATCGTTGCTGTAGGGTTGCTGTTTTCGGCGCCGTTGGTGCAAGTAAGTCCAGATGGCTATGACGGCGAGTTGTGCGAGCAGGAAGACTGTGACAGCCACAATAAGACCTGTCACAAAAAAAAAATAATGGAAAATTAAATTTTTTATGAGAAATAAAGTAAACAAAGGTGTTCTGTGTTCGGAACGTCGTTGGTGTTTTACGGTCTTGGGGTGTAATAGATAATCACTCATGTCTTAAACGCGATTCGTCCAAGTACCAAATAAAAATGTTACCTTCGTGAGATAGAAAGTTTGTCAAAGTGTAGGTAAGTGAACAAGAAGATATTTAATATACACTCGTTTATGCAAATATGTATGTGTGTCTGTAAATTTAATACCTAGGAAAGATAAGGCTGAGTTGGCTTCTTGTAGACCCATTCAGATACCATGTGTTTTTATCCTCGCTATATCGCCCAGGTTCCTAAAGAGCATAGCTTAAAATAGCGAGACTTTTAAATACTAATCGAATGGACAGACTGCAGCGTTGATCCGGATCCACTCGTTAATTCGGAATTATCTCGGGAATTAATAAAAGCATAGACCGAAAGCGTAGAATACAGAGAATATGCAAAATTAGTATGGAAACCTACCTTGTCATCGTTAATACAATCATCATACTAATTCAGATAGGAATAAGTGCGGGATCGAGATTGAGTATTTATTTAGTCCCGTGCCCAACTCTAATGGGAATCAAATTTAAATTGAATAAGAACTTATTTGAATTAGTATGGTAACTGTATTACCGATGATAAGGTAATATTAGATGCCCATGCTAATTTTTTCTGTATTCGATGCTCTCTGGTACGTACTACAATTCCGTAGGACCCAAGTTCGATTGCTAAATTTTTTAATTTTTTTATTTTATTTAATTTTATTTATGTATTTCATTTTGCTTTTTTATTATACTTCGCCTTGTTTTGTTTTGTTTTGTTTTATTTCACATTATTAATTTTTTTACATATTAGTTAATCTAAATTTTTACAGTTTAATTTGATTAAAAATGTCAAAAACAACTAACTAAAACCAACATTAAAACTTCTGCATTTTTATATTTAATTATAATTGAATGAATAAAAAAATTAAATGAATATTATACTGGCTGGCAATAGATATCAAGATATATCTATGTAAGCTTTTATATATATTTCTCTTGAGAAGCAATGAGCGGTCTCCATTGACAATTTATATTCTGATATTCAAGGCATAAACTTTATCATGTGCAGACTGGCAGTTATTGCAATTATTATATGTTATGGTAATATGTTTCTTTCTTTATCAAATATGGTAATTTGTTTTTCAATTTGGTAACTTTTTCGATTCGGCCCTACATTTTTGTTCAGTAGAAAAGATGCTCCCCTCGCATAGCTCAATACAGGCTTATTCTGATTCCATATTAGGAAGTGGTTCGTAATAGTATTCATACAGAAGGACATTTAATTTCCGATCTCTAACAAACAGTTTAAAAGTGCCTACTGGTATCCTAGCAATATGTTTGGTAATTTTTGTAAAATTTGGTACCTTATTCTGGTAACAACAATAGCTGTTAGGTGCATTTTAAATCGATACCCTAAAAAGTGGAAAGAATTTTTAACCGACTTCAAAAAAAAAGGAGGAGGTTATCAATCCGTCCGTACTAATCTGGTTTAGATCCGATCATTGGATCATGAAAAAATTAACGGTACTCCTAAATTTTTATATCAAAATTGAAGTCGGTTTTGTGTTTTGCTTAAAAATTGCTTCTTTTCCCAAAATTTCCACACCATTCGGTTTTTCGGTCTAACGAATAAGCTAATTTTATCATATACCGATGCGTAGGGCTGGAACTATCCGTATTTTCGGATATCCGTTCGGATATTCGTGTATATGGATAAAATTTGCTTAATATCCGTTCATTTTATCCGAACATCCGGTTAATGTCCGTTAATTTTGTTATCCGGATATCCGGCTAATATCCGTTCACTTGGTTATTCGGATATTCTAAACAGTATTTGAACGGATTCGTAAAAGTGTTCTCAAAATTATATCATACACCGATGCGTAGGGCTGGAACTATCCGTACATTCGGATAAAATTGGATAAAATTTAGTTAATATCCATTAATTTTATCCGAACATCCAGTTAATGTCCGTTAATTTTGTTATCCGGATATCCGGCTAATATCCGTTCATTTGGTTATTCGGATATTCTAAACAGTATTTGAAGGGATTCGTAAAATTGTTGCCAAAAATTACTGAATCTATCGAGCTGCATAATAAGTAATATCCGGATATCTATACACTATTCGGATATTCAGAGTGTTTGTGATTTTACTCGAATATCCCTAGTTCACGCCTTTTTTACGTGTCTTTATACCCTTACACATTTCAATCGCTTGTCTCATTCAACACCTGCCTAAAAAATCGTCAGTTGTGGCGCCAACAACAGCGCCAGCGATAACCAATACTTTCCCATCGCTAGGCTTATCACATATCTGTTAATGCAGAAGCATTTTTCCCACAAAACCACACTTATTCTGTTACCTTCGACCATCGAGCGCTAATCTGTGAAAACAGACACTTGAGCTCTCACCCATTATCGCGTCGGCGCTATCTGTTGCCAACAATGTTGTATGTTTGCTGTCCACATTAACAATCGCCGCTGGAACAATACCTCTCCTGGAAAATGTGCATACGTGTGTGTGTGTGTGTTTGTGTGCATAGACGGTGGCTTTAAGAGATATCACAAGCAATTACGTCAGTGCTTAACGCCTGATTGCGCGCTGCGACTATTCTTGTGGATAGACTGGACAGACACACAACTGCAATCTAACAGTCTAGTCACTACATACATACTAACTACCTACTACAAAGTTAGCTACTATTGTCTCGATTGATCATGTCCAGCAATAGTTTATAAATGTACCTTCATACTCAAGATTAAAACACTTTTGTTGGGTTTGGTGTTGTTGCGATCGTCTTGATTGTCTCGATCGTCTGCCCTACCGCCATCATCAGTTGCGCTTGTCGTCTGCACGTCTGCACTGTACTACTGGCTTAGAATTTTGTAGGTAGTATTCGTCAGCAGCGTTGTAAGTATGTACCTGATACTACTGTCTGTCCGGCGTACTTACCGATCGCATTAACACAGTATCCTTGGCCAGCTTCACCGCTAATGAAAATCGTCTCATTGCTATCGTACGCCGTGGACTTGGGCTGTTGCTGTTGCTGCTTATCGAAGCCAAATTTGTCAGTGATCTGAATTGATTGTACCAAAAGCATATCCTCTTGACTAGGTTTGCCGTTCGTCGAGGCGGCTGTTTCACGTCTGGTGCGCAGGCGCAATTGCTGTTGTCTGGTGCGGTGTTGTTTTTCCACCAGCTTTTGTTGCTGGTGTTCATAGCTATTCAGCACAGTGCCAGTAAATGTAGCTGCAAGTTGGCGGTATAGCAAGGAGTATACAGCGAAGATAAATAATGAAAAGATAAAGAAAAAGAATAGATATTTATGTAAGCAAAAAATAATCAAAGAAACGGATATAATTTTTTGTTGTTTGTTACTATTTTTTTTGTTGTAATCTTTGCTTGTTTTATTTATTTCATGCATTTGCTATTATTTTGCTATTGATTTCTTACTGTTGCGGTTTGCTGTAACAACAGGTGATAGGATTAACGTACATGTCGTACGAAATGAAGCGATAAAAAATAAAATGCCATCATTAAGATGAGTCCTACTCGTACAATATAGAATCGCCTTTCGTGGCCCTCGCACACTTATAAATTAACCGTTGTTTATAGTTTTCGCTGTATTGCCAGTTGCTTCTTTCTATTTAGTTATGAATTACTTTATGGCGAAAGGTAAAATTTATCAAACTCGTTGAATTAAGTACTGTAGAGAAAGGTTCTGTTCTTTACGCAGTAGTAGCATTGATGTTAGCTAAAGCTGTCTGTGTGAATATGCATGAACAAATTATACTATGAGATAGCCTTTGATCTAAACTACTTTTTAATTTGTAATTTCAAAAATTATTTGCAATAATATTTTCTAAATAAAAAAACTCGATCTTTAACTTCGTGCTTCGGGTTATAACTAGTTTTGCAAGGGCAAACTTTACGTTTGAGGAGTTTGGAAACTTTTGAAATTGTTTAATTTGGTTGCCTTTGCGTTGGCTTTCATTTTAATTAAATGTCAGCTTAGGCAAAGATGGGCATTTTGGGCAGAATGTGTTTTTCAAAGACCAAGAATCACCTGTACTTAGCCCCTTATAGCCAAATAATTGTATACATACATATGTAACGCCACGTACCCCGATTATGATTACCAACATAGCAACACCAGGCCTGGGTTTTCCCATTGGGTTGTACACGGGCCACATGAGTTTTTTTTTTATATTCAGCAGCCAGCCGCCGCTTTTGGTCCGATTTATGAAGATTGGGGAGAAAGACTACTTTATAGTACATACATATATGGTCCGAATTGGGGGTAAGATCCGCACGTGGGTTGAGTCCTATGTGGAACCCTCTCTGGCTATCTCGGATGCAGCCTTGTTTCAGGGAATGTTGCAATGAACAGGAACCCAAACTAAATCCAGATCGACCTGGCTACTTACTCTACTTAAAAGAGTCCTATAGCCCAAGCCAAGGCCGCTTGTCTATCCGATAAAAATGGCTATACGCTTACCGTGACGTAAACCACTACGTTCTAAAAACAAAACAGCCTTCAGCTATAGTGAATCCTTTTGCCTGGAAGACACTTGCAAAACCGGGCAGATGGATTGATGGGATTCTTAATCCCAGAAAATTGGAGACAACGCCTGCTACCACTCTGCGTTCCATTTTGGAGCCAGGCAAAGTTATCAAGTTCCTCGTCGCATGTAGATTCAGTTTTGGAGTGAGCGTTAAAAAATTAATAATTTGTAAGTCCGCCTTCAGACCTGGAATTAAAACATGACTCAGCCTCAGGTAAATCAACATTTCAGAAGAGCAGAAAAACCTGCGCACTCAGCAGCTTTAGTTAGGTCATATTAGATGTCTTTAAGCCCAAACTTTGGACAAATTGCAGCAGCTTGGACTTCTTTAGGTAGGTGTAGTGATTGGATCACAGTCCCTTTTTCACCTTTCTCGCTCTGTTATGACTTGTGACCCCTTATTACAACTAGCGCAAGGAACGACTTATTTATTCTGATTTTCCAGTTAGCTGTCGTAAATTTCTGGGCCAAAATGTCTGTTGTTACCTTTAGTCTAAAATTTTGATTTGCCTCATACTTGGCCAAAGCTCATTGGAGTATTATAAGAAGAGATGACCAAAGAGCTGTACTTGAAGTCGCTCCAGTATCAGTCAAACTTCAATAAATGTATTTCGCAGCTCCTTAAGACTTTTAGCGCGAAAAATAAAAGCTTACCTACGTAGGCAATTAGAGCTGCCCTAAAAGTCAAAAGTGGTCTATGAATAGATCCTAGCTTCTCTGCTTATCTGCCTCCTCAGCAATGCCTTCCTCAGCCATTTATAACATACAAAAGAAAATGTCGTGAAGTTATTTTTTTCGCCAGGTTGACTAAACCTAAGTTTCTTCGGTTAAAAAGTCTGCGGTTGACATAGTTTTCAGATAGTATTTATATAAGTTTTTCAAAACATTATTTTCCTACAGCCTAAGTGAGGTGAGGGCAATGTGCTCTTCACTCCTAGTCGATATGTTTAGCTTCTCCGTTTAGAAAATAATTCGTTTACCTTCTTCCTTTACACTTGTTGGATCCATCATATTATCGCCACACGCATTGCCGGATTCGCTCTATTCCTAATTCGCTTGCTTTATTTTCTTTAAATTTAAACTCTTTTCGATGACCTCCTATCAACATTTAACTTTATTACACTCACCTGTCGCATTAATTGAACGCCTCCTGCGTCCGTATGATATCAATGACTTGAATTCACCGCCGATGTCCTCCTGATCACATTGCACCGGTTCGCATGTGGGCATACAGGGCGTGACGAGCGCGCGGAATTGCACCACTTCGGATGAGGGGAATTTGAATGCATCAAAGTGTGAGAGCAAAATTTTACCAGATAAGGAACTCTTGTAGATCGGTCCCATAATGAAGTGATCGGTAGGACAGCCATTCGAATCGATGAGCGTAATTTCTGCATTATCACTACCATCCATAGCAACCAATTCGCGTACAAAGATCTCGTAGGGACTGTGTTCATCGAGAATTTCGAATTTCAGCGCCAACGGATCACCAACCTCAGCTGAGCGCATCACATCGGAGCCATCGCGTGAGGTAATCTTCATAATCACATTCGGTGAATCGACTATAACCTCTTCGCTAAGCGCTGGTTCGATATCGCCCTTAACACCCAAATCAACTTCATTCGAAACCGATTTGTTAGTCAAGTCATATTGACAAGTAACAGCCAAACCCAAATCAGACGAAGTAACAATGGTGTCGTGATGCTGTATCACTACATCGTTCATGTAACGTCCAGAGCCGCTTTGGCGTACATTACATTCGAGATCCTGATAACGCATACGCAATTCGAAGTCGAGTGCATTCTTAACATCAACAGCGCACGATTTGGGCGAACCTTTAGCGTAGACTTTGCCGTCGAAAAGTTTCGATGTGCGTATGCGTGCAATCATGTCGCCAGCGCCGCATTCGATGGTCACATTGTAGCAGGATGACAGTTCATAAGTGGCTGCTTCCGGCACTTCTAGGTAAGGATCTTGCACATCGGATAGTGTAGCACGGCTGTGATGCGAAAGACGGCAAACCATGTCGCCAGTGTCGCCGTAGTCGTAGGAGTGGCATCTAGAAGAAAGAAAAAATGAATTTAGAAACTATATATTTAGAAGTAGGACTTAGTAGGTATGTAGTTCAGAGTCAAACGTCGCCAAAATCAAAAGCTTTAAATTTTCGGTTCTAAAATGTCTCATGGCGCAATAACTTGCGCCGCACAGTGCATAATTTTGGCCATTAAGGAGAACAAAAATGACAGCGGCCATAATGTAAGTCTACATAATTTTATTTTTGCTTTATGTATTTTAAATACATCTTTATTATAACGGTTTCAAAGGAATATGGCCAGGTCAGCGAAGCCGTTGTATTTTAATTCGCTGCACTATGTCTATGTCGATGTAAAGCTAATTCAGCATATCGTTATATCATGTACGGTATTCGCCAACGCGCAAAGGCCCCTAAATATTCCGCAGAATCCTTCTCTTGAAAACCCCAAGAGCCGCTCAGAGAGGTCTTTCCCAATTCTTTCGGAGCCGGTTTTATTGCTCAACGTTATTTTACACAGCCATATCAGTTGCGCGGGTATGCAAAATTCAGACATCGCGGCTTATAGGCAACTCCTTTTAGTGCGGTCGAAAGCCCTTTTGAAGTCGACAATAGATGGTGAGTGTCGATCCCTTTCTCGCGTGTCTTGGCGCGTATGTCGTGCGGGGTCGCCTTTATTGTGGATTGGGCAGAGCACACTTATATTCCAGTCGTCGGGCATGGTTCATCTGACCATATTCTGCATAAGAGCTGATGCATGCACCTTATCAGCTCCTTGCCGCCGTATTTGAATCGCTCGGCTGACAGGCCAGGCCGTCAGCTTTAGCAACGTTTTTGTTTCTCAAGCGCGTTTTTTGCTAATTCGTACATCATCCACGTGGGGCTAGGGTTCGTCTTCAACATTCAGTTGGCTGGAAAAGTGTTCCCTCCATAATTCAAGAGCGTTCTGGACATCAGTCACTAGGTCGCTATTGTTGTTCTTACAAGAGTTCGACCTGGTCTTAAAACCGTGTCCGCAAGTCGCCTAACTGTCTGGTAAAATTTTTGGGCGTTTTTCCGGTCGGCCAGCATTTCAAGCTCTTCGCACTCACGTATTTCGGCTTGTTTTCTTATTGCGGCAAGTACGTCTCACTTCCTTCTTTAGTTCCCTATAACGGTTCCACATGGCTCGCGTTGCGCCCGATCGCAACGTGGCAGTATAGGCGGCGTATTTTTTCTCTGCGACTTCTTGACATTCCTCATTGTACCAGTTGTTCTTTCGGGCTCGCTGAAATCCAACTACTTCTTCGGCGGCGGTACTTAATGAGCGGGAAATATGGCTTCACTGCTCGCGTCGCGTATGTCGGTTTGTTGAAAAGTGCTCTCTGAGAGCAGTTGTGAGAGTCAAGTGGCGAATACATTCACTGTCTGTTGTGACTGCAACTTTTCTACGAGATATAGTGGTCCGAGTCGATGTTTGTTTGGCTGGAAGCACTGGAAGCACTGGAAGCATGCCTTCAGTCTATCACAACATGATCGATTTGGTCTCTCTTTTTTCGATCTAAAGACAGCCACGCAGCTTGATGGACCTTTTTATACTTAAACCTAGTACCGCATACTACCATGTTTTGGGGCCCGGTGAACTCGATCAGTCTCAGAACGTTGTGAGACGTTTCATCGTGAAAGCTTAATTTTCCGACGGTGGTTCCAAAGATCTCTTTTTTGCCCACCCTGCCACTCAAGTCGCCAAGCACGATTTTGATATCATGGCGTGGACAGCCTTCGTATGTGTGCACCAAGCGCTCATAAAAGAGCTCCTCGAACGCCTCGTCCTTTGGCTTGTGCCTACACGCTAGTCCACTGGGTTGACCGACATTACGGCGGAGTCTCTCTCCTACCACAAATCCAACAACCAATATGTGGTCCTTTACTTGGCTGCTGTATTAGATATCGCAAGGCCACTGAAATTTTTTGCCTTGCTCCGTCTAATGCATTTATTGGATAGCGGCGATGTTAGCTTTTGTTCTTACGAGGACATCAACCAGCCGGGCAGAGGCAGATTCCCCCAGAAGGGTCCGGACATTCCAGGTGCATGTTCTCGAATCGTAGTCCTTTAAACGTTTCTTCTCTGGTCTCTTTTCTTCACTGGTAGTAGTTTTTACGTGGAGGAGGATCAAGAAATTATATGACTATGACCGATCGTTATTTCTATCCACAAACTCTGTCTATGCGTCTTACGCACCGTTTCATAAGACCAAGACGCACCACTGATGTATACATCCAGAGTAAAACTTCTAGTTTAAAGCCAACGTTTTCCTGAAAAGCAGCCTGTAAGAGTAAAATAAATTACCAACGAACTTTCGGAAACCATATTTTTCCCCCGTTTCTTTAATCCAAGCCAACTGAACATTAGTTACATATGTATGTAGTTTCAAACATCTCGCTAATGTGCATTTCCTTATGCAAGAATTGTCGGAAAATTACGCAAAAATTCCAAGCTTATCTCGAAGCTGCTGTCTTCTACTGACTTAGAGTTAGCCAGTACAGAGTGACAGAAACATTTGCTCTCATTGATTTAATCGGCTGCCAGCATTGTGCTGTCAATAACTACCAACAAGTGGCAACAGTACCTTGCAATACATACTGGCTGCATGCATAAATACCAAACTACATACATAAATTCATACTCAAAGAGAAAAATATCTGCAACCCATAGAGCAGTTTATTTTGTGCACAGGCATTTAATCTAATCGCACATCATGAGTTCTCATCAAATTCAAATTTTCTATGGCAGCAAATCGCATAAAAGTCGCTGATGGGAGCACATTTGCACCCACTGCGCCGCAATATAACGGTATGCATAAGCTACTCGTTTTTTTTTTATTTTTATTTACGATTACGACGGCATTAATTTGCACACAATTGCAATTCCATCGAAAATTCCCAGCAAGAGACTTGTTGTTAGTTGATTAGCTGCGCGACTTCTTTTTCCATTGGTCGACGTCAACAGCCACTGATTAAGCAACACTTGTGGCAACATGTTGCGGAAACATGCAACAAGCAACAAACGGCTTTGCCATGCCAAATGTCATGCTGTTGCCGCCATCGCATCAAATGTTGACATGCTAATGTATTGGCGTTGGCTGTATGCAGCGGTTGCAACCAATGATTATGCTGGCCATTTGCAGAGTAGCTTCTTTGCGGCTCGACTATTCAAGATATGACCAGTTTTTGGCTATAATTTGTTGCCGCTGAACGGCCGCCTACTGAATGCCACAATTGACTTGACCGCATTCGGTTGGCAGTCAACGGCGGCACACTTGTTTAGTTTTTTCCCGTTTTCTTGTTGTAATATTTCTGTGCGTTCTATTAGTTATTAGTTTTTATGTAAGTGGGTTTTTGTTTTCATTGTCCTGCCACAGCCTCTGTCTGTCGCGCTTACCTGTACGGTGAATTCAAACATAAATCACGACACTCATCAATGCTGCCAACATCCTGATACACCGAATCTACCGTCTTGAGTATGCGGCCGGACAAGCGTTTGAACTCGCACAATTTATTTGGCTCATCGGCGCAGTTATTCTCCAGATAATCGACAGCGTCGTGCGGCTGGAATGCGCCAGTGCCGGCCAGCGTAATGCGATCCATTTCGGAGAGCTCACAATTGTTTGTACTGCGATAATAGTTGGCTGATCTGCAAGAAAGCAAAAAAAAAAGAGAAAAAATTAAGTTGTGGATTAGCGAAAAGCATTGAAAAGAATATATATTTGTATGCATGTGCGTACTTGTATAAGAAAATAGCAAGAATTATGAAAAAAGCGTTAACAAACTAAAGCAAACAATCTTGACTTTGTATGTGGTAGATATGTACATTAGGCTGCATCACTCCCCATACAAAAAAAAATTCGGTACTGTTTTTCGGAATTATAAAGTCTACTATATTTTAAGACGTCCACCAAAATATTTCGGAAAAATTTTAAGATTTAAGCCAGCTGGACCGATTTGAAAATACCTCCAAAAATGGAGTTTTTTCATGAATAGAAACAGTTTCTTAAAGATGTTTTTTGAAGAAATCACCTCAAATGACAAAACGATCTAAGCTTAAAAAATTCACATAAAAATAAAAAAAAAATTTTGAACGAAATCGTAATAATGAGATTTTTGATGCCGTTTTTTTAACTTTTTTCAAAGATTGGTTTTAAATCTTTGCAATTAAGCTCATTCAAAGAATGAAAGAGAAAGGTAGGATGAACGAACATCATTCAAAGTTGAATCAAGATGTGTTGGTATTTGAAAAAAAGGGACACGAATGACTTCTTTTGCACATAAATAAAAATAGTGGGAAAATACCTTTCGACCGAGATCCCATAAGTCTTAATCAGAATACTTAGTTTTGGCCCAGTTATGTATTTAAGTTTTTCGTAAATTAGTCATTGAAAAAAGTAAAAAAACAGCATCAAAAATCTCATTATTGCGATTCCGTTGAAAAGATTTTGAAATATTTTTATGCAGGTTTTTTAAGCGTAATCTGTTTTGTCATCTGAGGGGAGACTTTTTTCAAAAAGTTCTTTAAGAAACTATTTTTATTCATACAAAACTCAATTTTTGGAGGTATTTTCATATTGGTCCAGCTGTCTTAAATCTTAATATTTTTCCGAAATATTTTGGTGGACGTCTTAAAATATAGTAGACTTTATAACTCCGATGGAAAAACAGTACCGATTTTTTTTTTTGTATGGGGAGTGATGCAGCCTAATATTCCGAAATATTTTGGTGGACGTCTTAAAATATAATAAATTTTGTAATCCAAGCGCAAAAACCACACCTTTTTTTGGTGATGCAGTCTAATGTACATACATACGTATATGTGTGCACTTTGTTCTATTTGTTGGTCAGCCACAAACACCACCAGCCTAGGTACTTTTTTGTGCTATGCAATTTATCGCACATTAATCTGCCATCACTGACATTGTTGCTGCAGCCTGTTTGTTGTACATTTTATGCGCGGTCCAATTTTGCTATTTATGGCATTAACACGACCGCGCTGAATTGACTATGCAACGAATGAGTGAGTGAGCGAGTAAATGAATGGTGTCTGCGCAAAGTTTATGGATGCACTTTGTTGGCAGATTTTATGGCGCAGCTTTGAGTTTTGTGTTAAAAAGCGATTTATTCTATGTTTGGGCGGACGTGTTGTTGATGCGGCAGGTGCAATATGAAAAACGCCCCAATAAATAAGCGCAATAAATAAATCTTGAGAATAAGTGGCGATTAATTCGTCGTTAAGCGCTTAAGTGCAGAAGGTTAATAGATTTAATTTAATTCGTATTGAAGATTATTTCAGCTTAGATTGTTTTGAGGAAAGATTTATTTTTAAATTCAGATAATTTTTTTTAAAGCAATTTATTGAACTTGGTTAGCATAAGTAAGTACTACTCGCCATATAAATAATAATTAAAATAAATCATAATAATAATAATAATAAAAAAATTGCGTAATATCAGCCTTTATTAACACTTAAAAACACTTCGAATAACGCAAATGTTGTAATCGCATGAAACCAGCAATATTTTGCGGTTCGCAGAAATTTCCGATTTAAAAAGTTTTCAATCTAATGAAATATAAATATTTCAACAAAAACTACCAAAACAGAAAGAGATTTTTACTTCATTAGTCGTGTAGTCGCTTATGACAATTTGACATAATTCGACATAGCTCCCCACTTACTTTTGGTTAATTGGCGCCAATTAGGCAGCGGGCACACAATGAGCGGTTATTATAATAACTTATTTGCAAAACTCGTGAAACTGCAAATGAAAATCGATCTGGGTTGCCACAGCGTAAAAAATATGAAATATATCTGAATCGGTCAATTACCAACGGCAATAAGTCAGCATTTTTCCGATATGGTAAATTTAAGGCAGTTAAACCGAGCTCGGGTGCGTTCAGAAATGCATCAAGCCAAAGCATCAGAGTCTTTTATATCTAAACTATAACTGATGGAAGTGTCTTATTTGCGCTAGTAAGTTCCAATTCGGCTTTTAACCGTGGTTGCGCATATTTGACATTTCCATCAATTATAGTTTAGATATAAAAGACTCTGGTGCTTTGGCTTAATGCATTTCTGAACGCGCCCCTTCTTTAAACGAACGGAACTGCATCAAAATTGACATTTTCCTTTTACAAAAACGATTTGGTCAAATGGAACACTCGCTTTTGTTCTGGTTAAGACTAAAAGAACGCGCAAAAGTGGAAAGCAAAAGTAATTTAGGTACGCCTCCTTAAATGAAGCAAACCTAAAAGGCCTGTCCAAGAAACGCCGAAAAAAGTGCTTCCCTGTATGCCTTCTAGAAGGGAATTTTTATTTACAATTTACGCGAGTAAGTTTACATTATTTAACATAACAAATGAATTTAAATATGCATTTTATATTGCAATACAATATATTTAATAGGGAGAAAATAGTAGCTCCTCCAGAAGTCATTTTGAAATATGTGATTCAAAAGTCCTTGTATGGTTTGCGAAAACAGAACGCCTTCAGTTTGTTCCACTCCATAAAAAAGAATCAGTCCAGCGCCTTCGTCTTGACTTGCGGGCTGGGCCGGAGCCACAGCCGCTAAACTTAAACGTAGAATACGTGATATTATTAAGATCACATTCAAGTTAAAAACAGTACATGAAATATTCGTTTTGATTGCATTGAATTGAAATTAATAAATCAGTATGAATTTCAAAATATACTTAATTAGCAAAAGAGAAGCAGATCCACATTAACTTCAATCATATGTACCATCAGCTTATAATAAGATATACATATGCCATGACGTGTATCATACTGCAGAATGCAATGTATTACTTTTATATTAGCCTAGGTCCCCTTATTAGTATTCTTCTTGGTGTTCGTGCTCATCTCCGCATTATCTTCGCCTTCGGATTTGTACATAAGTTAGCTAACACTTCTGAAACAGATGGCAACCCCCTAAATATAGGTAAGAAATAAACAAATCTCTTGTGTCTGATATTGTGATACCTACATAAATATTTCATGTGCCAGCTGAATTAAGCTAAACTTTATTTTTTAAATACGTTTCAACGCTCATTAATATAGTTCAAAAATAAAACCTATTTAAACCCATTCATTTGATACCCATATTTTGAATAATCACTTTGACTTATTAAATCATTTGAGTTTACCTCCTTAAACAAGTGGCAACCCTCTTTAATATTCTAAACATTCAAACTATAGATATCTTACCACCTTCGTTTCACGTCATATTTTAATATTTCATTTAACTTATACATACTTTAATTAAATTCTAATTTTAAAACAGGTGACAACGCTATTCACAAAAATTTTTATAACCAACACCTTGTTAAACCTTTTTCGACTGACATACATATTTTGATACATATTTAAATTGTGTATATTAGTCCCTTAATTCAAGTTGAATTGAATTTTTGAAGAATATGGCAACCCTCTTAAATGAAGCTCAGAAAAAAAACATTTTTAGGCCATGTCAATTTATACCCATACTTTAATAGTTAATTTGACTTATTAAATAATTTGAGTTTAACTTTTTACACAGTTGGAAACGCTCTTTAATACTCCTTTGCTTTACGTTTAATTAAATTCGACTTTTCAACCAGATGGCAATTTTGTACAAATAATTTTTTTAACCAAAACCTCGTTAAACGTTTTTCGTCTGACACTTGTATTGTGATACATATTTAAATTTTCTAATACTCTTAATTCAAATTGAATTTAATAATAAAATCAGGTAGCAACCCTCCTACATACAGTTTGGAAATAAAGTCTCTTCAAAGCCAATTTGATTTATATTCATATTAAAGTAATTTATTTATTTTGCTTATATTGAATCTAACTTTGTAACAAGGTGGCGACCCTCTGCAAAATATTTTCAAATTACAACCTCACTCGTCTGAAATCCATATCATATATTGACATACATTTCAATTTTCTGTTAAGTCGAACTTGCTTTTTGAGACAGGTAGCAACTCTACTACATATAATTAAAAAAATAAATCCTATTCAAAACCACTTCGATCAATACTCATATTAAGTGTAATAATTCATTTAACTAACATATATATAATTTGAATTAAATTTTTTTATCAGGTGGCAACTCTATTTGAAAAAACAAGAAGTTATTACACGCCTCATTTTAGTATAAACTTTAAGTACGCAGGTATGAAAAAACTCGTAACTTCTACAGTTTTGGTGTTTCCATTCTTAAATTTTTACAGCTTAATAAAGTTTGACAACTATTCAGGTTGAAACAAATAAAAATCAAGCATGATGAAGTTGATAAAAAAATAAAAAAAAACGATTTTTTAATGTATTTTTTTTTTATTCTACCTAACACTCTTATGGAAAGCCGAGGTTATTACGCACATTTTGATACCTTAACTGATTTTCTCCGACAAATAGTTTATTAACTGCAAACAAATAAAAAAAGAGTTCAATATTTCGGGAATTTTTTTTCGAGATTTTCGAATATCATGACGAAATAAAAAAATAGGTGTCTGCTTTTTTTTCGATAAAGAATGTAAAAATGTAAAAAAAATAAATAAATATATATATTTAACCAAAAAAAAATATTGAGGTGTAAATATTGTATGGAATGACCCATATACATATGAATTTGCAACAGAAGTGAAAGGCAAAGCACGACC